TACCCAATGTGATTCCACCAAAATCTCGAGGACACAGCCTGGCCAAGAGCCAGTGCTGCTGCCCTTGCTGGTCCCTGAGGCTCCCAAAACTCCCCTGCCCATCCCCACGCTGGGCATTTCAGGTTTATCCGGAAAGAAAGTTGCACCCATTTAACTAGAGGGGATTTAAGCAGAGCACAGGGTGTGGGGAGTTTGTTTGGAGTTGAATACGCTGGTAGGAAAGGTGACAAAACCCCAGGAGCAATTCTTAGAAGAGACTTTAAAGATAAGGTGGCACAACCTCCTCGGAAAGGCTGAAGGACTGTGAGGACGTGTCACTGAAAGACCTTGAACCTTCCCCGGGTGAGCCCATCCAGGAGAACCCACCCACCACCCACTGTAAATCCCTTGGGCATCCCACAGTGCTCATCCCATGCTCCTCCTCCAGTCCTGGAGAACCTGCCTCCCCAAAACACCTCCCATGCTGCGTCCAGGAAGAGAGAATCCCCCACTCCCTGTTTCCTCAGCAAAGCATTGCCTTCACCTCCAGCCAACTCATGGGTCTCCCTGGAAGGTGAGGAGAAGGACATGGACCTCATCCTGGAGCACAGACTTCCTGGATTCCTGGGCTGACCACGGCATGGGAACCCACTCTGACCGAAAGCCAAGCCCCAGGTGGAGGGGCACGACCTTGGACTGAACTGGGGGGAACCACTGGGGCTCCTCACGTACCTACCAGTGGGGGGAATGAAAAGATGAGCAGGTGCTTCCTGTGTGCTCAGGAAGGGACCTTCCCTTTCAGCCCTCCAGTGAGGAACCCCACAGCTCGCTCTGGGAATCACTGCATCCCATCCACCTCTGCTCTGGGACCACACAGTGGCTCAGGAAGGCCCAAGTGGTGCCATCCTGGCTCGTGGAGGTGATGCCGCTTCCTCTTTGTGTGGGAAGAGGGATAACCCCACGCAGGGGAGTTACAAAATGGCTCCCTTTGGGCAAGTGCAGCTCAAGGTGCCTCCAAAAACCACCTCACAAACTCCAGCTGTCCCCAGGGATGGAGCACAGAGGTGACAGGGATGTGCTGGCTCCATCCCTCCCCATCAGCTGTCTGCACCCCAGGAAAGGAGAAACAGCACTCCAGGGATGAGATCCCTGCTGTGCCATCACGACATTAAGCCTTCAGCTCCCCCCTCCCACACCCCATATTGTGGGAAGACCCACGAGGGTGTTTCTACCCTCAGTACTTGTGGCTTTTTGGGAGGGACACCCCCGGCATGGCCTCCCCAGCCCCGTTTCCCCGCAGGGCTGTTTTTTCCCCGTGGGGTTGTGCTGCTCCGACCACCCCACCCTCGGCCCCGGGGAATGTCCCCCCTGCTCCGATGATTCATCATTTTGTCCCACGGGGCTCTTCCCGTTCCCCACGGCACCACCAAAATCCGGCAACTGGGGCACCCTCACCTCGGTACAGGCGGTGCCGGGGCAGGGGGGGACCAGGAACACACGTGCCGTAAACTCTGCGCCGCGGAGCGTGGAAAAAGCAATAAAAGAGCTGGCTGGAATCACAACCCCATCCCAAACACCCGGATGCTGGATCGCCCCGCCGCAGCCAGCTCCAGCTCCACCCCGGAGCGGTTTCCTACTGATAAGGGCGGGCGGCCAGGCCGGCATCCCATGGAAAACACACGCGGCCAGCATCCCTCGGGAAGCAAACCCAGGATCCCTCAGGAAGCGAACCCAGCATCCCTCGGAAAACACCCCGCTCCCCTCCAGGCACGGCGGGGTCAGCACGTGCTGCTGTGACCCGCCACCACACCCACCCCGATAGCCCAAATCCGGCGGTTTCCCAACTCCGGCCGCCCAATCCCCAATTCCCACCGGTCCCAGCACGGTTTTCCCCGCCGGATCCCCCGGCGGGCAGGTAAGGGCAGGCTCGGCACCCGCAGCCGGGAGAAACCAGCCCCATTCCCTGCTCCGGCCGGAGCAGCCGTGCATGAAGCCAAGCAAACATGGCAGGGAAGTACAGAGGAGGGGGGGAAAGAAAAAATACCCCGCCGGTCCGCTGCTGCCGGACTCCCTGTTACATAAAAAACACAAACTCCCCCGTGCCCCAAGGGCCGGGAACGCGCAGGAGCGCCGGGATTCCTGGAAACGGGCCCTGCTTTCCCCGGACTCGCACCGGCTTATTTATTTATCTTAGAAGAGCACAATAACCACCAGATTTTCTCTGTCGTTCTGTTTGGTTGGTTTGGCTTTTTTTTTTTTTTTAAGGAAATTTCCCCATCATCTGACTCGCTGAAGCTCTGGAGGACACGGGGAGCTGGCGTAATCCTTCCTGCCTCGCAATTAATTCATGAATATCATTAATCGGCGGCCGTAGGTTCGGGGCAGCCCCTCCTATGCCCCCTAAACTCCCCGGGGAGGGGTGGTCTCTTGGTGACCCCCTAAAAGCCGCGTGACACGGGGTACCCCCCACTCCTCCCAGCCTTTGCAGACCCCAAAAGCAGCAGGGCTGGGGGGGGAACTGGACTCACAGGGCGGGTCCCACTCTCTGTCCCCGAAACCGGGGGGACATTTGCACCCTGTCCCGGGGGGGTGAAGGGGTGCGCGGCCCCTCCCAGCGAACCCCGGGTGTCCCGGAGCATCCGTGCCTCGGTTTCCCCACGCGTGGGGTGCCGGGTGCGGGGGGGTGGTCCCGCCGGGAAAGGCGACCGGGGCAGGTCCCCTCGGGCTGCCGGTGGTCTCGCAGCCCCCCGGGACCCTCGTTTTGTCGGAGGGGGCACCCGGCCAAGCTGCCGGAGACCCCCGAGCCCTCCCCGCAGCGCCGGGAGCAGCCGCGGCCCCGGCGGGGCTGGAGCCTCCCGTGCGCGGGGGCCGCTGCCGGGGGCGCGGGGAGCGCGGGGGGGGCGGTGTTATTTACCGCGAAACGGGGGGGAAAAAAAGAAACTACGAGTTCAAACCGCGCGGGGAGGGGGGGGGGGGGGGGGGGGGGGAGCACCCCAACACCCCCCATAGCCCCGCACCAAGGTGGGCTCCCAGCCGAGCGACCCCTGCACTCACCCGGGGGGGAGGACGGAGAAGGCAACCAAGTGGTTCGGCTGCGCTCAGCCCGGCTCGGCTCGACTCAGCTCAGCTCAGCTCGGCTCGGCTCAGCTCAGCTCGGCCCTCCGGCCCGGCTCAGCGGAGTTGGGCTCAGCCCGGCTCAGTCAGGCTGCGCTCGGCCCGGTTGAGCCCAGCCCAGCCCAGCCCGGCCCGGCTCGGCCCCGTGCCGAGGGAGGGCAGCAGCGCCCGCCCGGCCCGGCGCGGCCCGTTCCGCCCGCCCCGCTGCCCTCGCTCGCTCCGCCGGCCCCGGGCACGCCGGGAGCTGCAGTTCGCACCGGGGCCGGGCCGCCCGCGCCTGCCGGGACTTGTAGTCCCCGCCCGGGCCGCCGCGGCAGTTCGGGGTTGGTGGTGATTTCCTCCCCGGAACGGGAGGGCTCCTCCCTAAAAATGTTTTGTTGTTTTGTTGGGTTTTTTTTTTCCCCTCCCCAAAAGTGGGGGTTTCCACCCCCGGAGCGGGGTGTTGGGATGGGGGTGAAGGCAGGGCTGTGCCCGCGCCGTGCAGCCCTTTGCACCAGGATCGTGCAGTTCCTTGCACGAGTATCGTGCATCCCCTGGCGCGGGGATCACGCAGCCCCGGGGTCGTGTCGCTGCTTGCACCAGGATTGTGCAGCCCCCTCGCAGGAGGATCATGAGCGCCCTTGCATGACACTTTTTAATCCCTAATTTATTTGCAAATACACGTGGGCAATTCCCCCAAACCGAAGGAACCCGGAGCTGTTCACACGCAGCTCCTTGTTCTGCACGTCCTGCTCCAAACTGGTTCCTGAAGCCTCCAGCCACCACAGCAGCTCAGCCCTGGAGTCTCTCAAGCTGAGCTCTCCCACTCATCCTAGTTTTCCCAGCCAACCCCAGCAGGCATCCGGGTCCCATTAAAAAAAACCCAGCCCCAGTTTGTCATTGCTGCAATCCAAAGGCTCCGAGCACATCTGAAAGCCCAGGAAGTGCCTGAAAATCTCAAGCATGAGCTCAGATTTTGCTGTTCCATCAAGAAAAGCTGTGCCAGCCCCTGCTCAGCTGCAGCCAGAGGAGACACAAGGCAGCTGGATTTGCAGCCCTTTATTCACTCCTTATCACCCCACACAGATCCAAAGGAGGAGAAGGTGTTCCAGGGACAAATTCTGCCATGGGTGATGCTCAGCATCCCTAAGTTGCCAGGGCAAAGCCAACTCTGTTGTTGGCCATGTCGAAGATGGAGTAATACTGCCTGAGGAAGAGGTTGCCAAGGATCCAGAGGGGCTGGCCACTGGCAGAGGGCACATAAGTGCTCTCGACCCCCACGGTGCAGATGCCATCGTTCTGTTAGGGGAAAAAGAGCAAATTTCAGCTCCAGTGAGGAGCTGCTCTGGCTGGGAACAGGATCCCTGACAGGCAGCAAAAGCACCGTGGAATCGGGTGCTGGAGGCCTCTGTGCCTGAGAAGAAACTCGGACTTTCTCCCGAGCAGAACTGCCCTGGGATGGCAAAGACCTGTCAGGAATGGTCAAATCCCACCTACCTCTAGGACATAGACAGTGGGAGGCAGCGACAACCAGGCCCCACTGATGGCAAAGTAGAGGGTGGGCATGTTTGGGACACTGCTGCAGTCAACGAGGAACTGCAAGAGAGGCAAAGAGGGGCAGAGGGGTCAGGACCCCCGGGCTGGCACTGGCTTTATGCAGGTGGCCACACTCCTTAAGGGTCAGCACAGCTCTGATGGTGCCAGGGTTGTGCTGACCCACACTTGTCATGTTTGGAAGAATTATTTCTGTTTCACAGCACTGCAGGGCTGTTCCAGGTGAGATGTTTTGCTCCCAGGTGCCCCCATTCCCATCCAAGTCATGGAATGATGTTTGGAGCCTGCAGCAGCTCAGGAAACCCCTCAGCATCTTTCCTCCTCCATCACATCCTGATGGATCTGCCTCGGCTTGGACAGACCCTGCAGGGAGCAAAGGGAAGAGCAAAGATCAGCAGGGATGTGGTCAGCCCTCGCCTGTCCCCTCCTGCCACTGCCCCATTTCCACCAGAAACCTCCCAGTCCATGGGGAGGAGGGAAGCCCTTCCCTGCTGTCCGCGCCCACTTAATCTCCTCTCCCTGCACTCAGCCTGTGTCAATATTTTGACACAAAGCACAGAGCAGTTTGTGTCCTTCCCCCGGTGAAATGACAGAGCTGTGAATGCACCTGATAACGAGAAAGAGCTCCTATGAAACGAGTCTGGATCCCAGGAAGGAGCAGGGTTACCCAACCTCCCCCGCCCGAGGGGTTTCCCATCCCCTTCGGCCACACCACAGTTCTGGTGCAGTTTTACCCAACTGAACAGCCCTGCTTCAGGGGTTAGGGGTCATTTGGGTGTCATGACTCACCTCACATTCCAACTTGGACTGAATCCACAGGACTTTGGTAAACCTTTTCCAGCTGCAAGGAAGGTCGGGGGCTTCCCACATGAGTTTTCCCAGTGCCCAGGATGAGGGTTGGAGGTGGGGACTGACCAGCCCTGTGGCTTTATCCTCAGCCCTGGAGTTTGTCACAGCACTTACCTTGCTGGAGAAAGGGAGTCTGAGACCTGTAACCCATCGGTCTGTGCTCGGCCATCGCTCAACAAACCCGGGAGGTCAGAGGTGATTTGGGATGTTGTGGTTTATTTGTTACAGGAGACACCGTGAGGACACCCTCACGCAGGAATCCCGAGGGATGGGGAGTCATGTGGGCAAGTAAAGGAACATTAGAGGTCCCTGGGAATGCCGTGGCACTCGGGCAGTGCTGGGCCAGGAGAGGGGCCGGGTGGTGCTGCCCCACCGCTCTACGCCGAGCGGGCGAAGCCGACGCGGTTGTAAGCAGTGTCAAAGATGGTGTAATATTCCTTGAGGAAGACGTCACCCAGGATCCAGAGAGGCTGCGTGTCCTGGGAGGGCAGGTAGGTGACCTCGATCCCAAGGGTGCAGTAGCCGTTGGTCTGTAAGAGGGGAACAACAGGGAGTCAAACAGGCACCGGGCCCCTCCAGCTGGGCTGCAGGGAGGGAGAACATCACTGCTGGCCAAGGAGCTCCGGGTCCTCCCCTGGCCCTCCAGGACTCAGCAGGAGAAGCCCCTCAGCTGATACGCACATTCAGGACGTAGGAGGAGGGGTAGAGCGGGAGCTGAGCACCACTGATGGTGAAGGTGATGGGGGGCATGTTCTCAATCTCCTCGCAATCCACTGCATACTGTGGAGAGAGGGAGAAGAGGAGATGATGGGTGGGACAGCACCCACAGTGAGGGGAGAGATACCCTCATATGCCAGGGGGACATAAACTTCATCCCATGGCAGTGCCACCTCATGGAATCACAGAGTAGTTTGGGTTGGAAGGGAAGTTAAAGTTCATCCAGTTTCACCCCCTGCCATGGGCAGGGACACCTTCCACCAGCCCAGGTTGCTCCAAACTCCGTCCAGCCTGACCTTGAACACTTTCAGAGATGAGGCAGCCACAGCTTCTCTTGGGAAACTTATGCCAGTGTCTTACAACCTCACAGGGAACAATTTCTTCCCAATATCCCACCTAAACATATTCTCTTTCGGTTTGAACCAATTTCCCCTTGTCCTGTCACTACAGTTCCTGATGCAGAGTCCCTTTCTTGCTTCCTTGCAGCCCTTTCAGATACTGAAGGGAAGAGGCTGTGAGGTCTCCACACAACCTTCTCTTCTCCAGGCTGAACAGCCACAACTTTCCCAGCCTGAAAAGACTTCAGGGAAGGATGTGACTTCATCTCCCCTGACACACCTGCAGCACCATGTTCTGCAGGTGCCACATAGGTTTTGTGGGACCTGGTTGAGCCTACAGGTCTGACTCAAGGCTCCCACTGCTCCACACTCCCCCCAGAATCCCTGCACTCACTCCATAGCTGGTCTCCTGGGCACCCAGGGCCTGCAGGATGCTCTCGATGTACTCCTCGGGCACAGTCAGGAGGAACGTCCCCGTGTCCACGATGGCCTGGCAGCCCTGGCTGCAGCAGCCTGTCACTGACTGCCCAATAGCAAACCTGGGAGGAGAACAGGGGGAAAGACATCACTTGAGGCACCCACTGGCACCTAAACATGCCTTGGCTGGATCTGTCACTCTGGGGTGCTCTGAAATGCATCCAGCCTGGAGCCTGTGCCTGCTGCAAAGTGCAACAGCTGCACCTGGGGGGACAGCTGTGTGCCCTCCTTCCATGAGGATGATGCTCAGAGGCACAAACACCACTCACTCCTCAAGTGTGACCTGCCAGTAGAGCTCCTGGGTCACTGGTGCCCACGTGATGGCCCCATGGAAGAGCCGAGGGTCGATTCCCCCGAGAACCAGCTCTCCCCCGTACTGGTAGGTGGGTTGGCTGCAAAATCAGAGACACAGCAGCAGAGATCAGGATGTACAGAGATCAGTGGGATGTACATGGGCTAGAGAGGGATAAACCCAGAAGAAACGCTCCTGGGGACAGGCAGGGGACACCGAGCAGGGGACACAGTGCAGGGGACACAGTGCCGAGTGTCCCGGCGGGTTTTTACCGTGAGAAGTAGAAGCTGAAGATGGGCTCGGCGAGCTGGTCCTGCTGCAGCATTCCCTGCACGGCCGTGGGCATCCCTCCCACTGCCAGGGAGGGGAAGGCCATTCCCAGGATCCCGTCAAAATCAGCAAAGTAGAAAGGCTGGGTCGGCTCTTCCTGGCTGAGCCCAAAGTCCTGGTTTGTGACGGTGATGTTCTGGATCTGGAGGGGAAGGGGAGGCCAGGTCAGCAAGGCAAAGCTGAGCAGCCTTGGGAGGGGTGGATGATGCTCTGGAAGCCCAAGAGCACTGCAGGGTCACAGCTGGTGAGAACAGCACCAGGCAGCAGGGAAAATCAGCAGGAATTGGGTTAAAACACAGTCGAAGCCCAGCTGGGTGACTGAGGGTGGCAATAACCACTTTGCACCCACGCTTTGCCCAAGTCTTGGCTACATAAAATCTGCTCTTGGGCTGTCCCGGGGCTCCTTCCATCGGGACACCCAGCTGGGACAGGACAGGGCCGGGGTCCCTCACCCTGAGTGTGTCAGAGCCCAGCACGACGGTGACGGAGCCGCTGCCGTAGGTCACGGTGAGGGACCGGCCATTGGGGGCGAAGGTGTCGGACTCGCTGGGCTTGAACTTGGCGTGATTGACTGGGAGAGAGAGGAGGGGAAATCCTGGGCATGTGCTCGTCTGGCTGCGGTGGGATTTCACTGCCAGTCACTCCGTTGGGATAATGCCTGGGAATGCAGCTTCCCCGGAAGGGAACAAGTCCTGAAGGGCAGAACAGGCTGTTCCTCTGCCTTGTGGGACTCTCTCAGACAGGGGTTGCATTCCAGTTTTGCCTGGATCCCTCTGCAGGGATCACAACCACAGCAGCCACCCAGCAAAGCCATCAGCAGTGAAATCCCCGGCGCTCTCCCACTGGCAGAGTGTTACATGGGGTGAGCTGTGCTGGGAGCAGGACATCAGCTCCACTAGTCCTGGCTTTGCTCTTCCCTCTGCCCGGCTACAGAAGGTCAGGCATCACCACTGAGATTTCTGGGATGGCCACAGGGATTTGTCCACCTTCCTTAGCCGGGCAGAGGGCTCTGTGCTTCCCAGGGAAGGCATCAACCAGCTATCCCAGATCAGAATCCTGGGATCATTTCTGGTCTGGCACTGTGTTGTCCCTGACAGGACTGGGCTATGCAGTGCCCCAGGGTAGTAGCTACTACTGACTGCTACTACAGGCAGTAGTAGCAGCTCAACTCCCAGCACACCAGGGTTACTCACAGCAGGCTGGACTCTTGCAGTCGATGGAGGGCACCCAAAAGTTGGAGGAGCCGGTGTCAAAGAGCACCAAGAACTTTTGGGGAGGGGTCCCAATGCTGATCTCCCCAAAGTAGGAGGACTGCAGAGAAGAGAGGGGGCACCTGCATTGGCCACGGGGTCAGGAACAGAGCAGGCTCTCACCTGGCATCCCACTGCCTTGCAGGGAGGTGGGGAATGCCAGGCTCACTCTTGCCCATAACCAACCAGGCAGGAGCAGACTGAGCTCTCATCCTGCTTTTTTCCCCCCAAAATGAAATATGAAATAATTGCTGTGTTCTTTGTTACATACAGAAAGGTTTTTGTGGCTGGGGAAAAACTTCCCTGAAGTCTAAACCAGAAGCTCAGAAGAGTGGGAGAAAAGCAGTTTCTCACTCCTGGAGGCTCTGGGGTGACCAGATCACTCCAGCAGCTGGGAAGGATGAGGGAAAGGGGAACGTGGTGTGCAGAGAGGCAGCGAGAGGGGAACCTGGGGTACTCACATCCAGGTGGTTGGTTATCGGCTGGTTCACAACGTAGCCCTTTTTGGAGCTGTATTTCTTAACTGGATCATACTTAATTTTCTTCAGGTAGTCATCCAGCACTCCAGCTGCCCTCATCTTCTCCCGTATGGACTCGCCTTTCTTCAGATTGATTCTGCACAGAGGGAGGAAAAAACACGGCAGGAAATCAGGAGAAGATTTGGGCGTTTTCAAATGTTCACTTCTCTGGACTCAGTCAAACCCTGCCACAACAGGAGCCCTCCAGGTGCCCGGGGATGCCCTCCAGGGAGGGATGCAGCCTGGGCTGGGACCACAGTGTGGGGATGCTGGAGGCTGGAGCCGCTCCTGGCCAGGTGCCCTGCAGGTCAGGGCTGCAGCCGGGCTCTGCTCTCCGCCCTCTCCCGCTCCTCCTGCCGCAGGACACCCACCTCACCACCCCCTCTGCGAGCTGGAGACACGCCAGGGCCAGGACGAGCCACTTCATGGTGCCGAGCTGTCCACGCACACCCCGGGGCGACAGCGGCGGCCGGGCCGGGCCGGGCGGGCTCCCGGGTTTTATAGCGGGAGGCAGCGCCCGCCCTTATCTGCTGACCTCCCTTTTCCATTCCCATCGGGCACCCCCGGCCTCAAGGGCTTCTTTGTGCTTCGGGGCCACGAGGCTCGCGAGGAGCCTGTGCCCTCAGCGGGGCAGCTCAGGGCCGAGCTGGAGAGATCAAAGCGCTGCCATCCGATAAGGGGTCAGAGCTTATCGGGGCCGGGGCACCCGACGTCACCGCCGGCCGATATCTGCGCTCGCCAGAACCTGTTCAAACCTTTCCCTGGACAAAGGCGCTCGCGGCTCTTGGCGCGGGGTGGAAGCGCTTTGGTCTGCCCTCCTTCCGCCCGGATGGATGGAGGGAGGGATGGTTGCCGGCGGCCAGGCTTTCCCAGGACACGGGGCAAAGAGCTGGAGAACACCGGGATCCCTCTCTTGCTTTGTCCTGGATGGTCTCCAGTGCTGCTCTGCCTTCAGTCCTTCTCTTCAGCAGCCTCCCAGTCCTTCGCTCTCCTCTCCTCGAGGAGAAAAGCTCATTTCCACGTCATGCACCTTTCACTATCTGGACAGAAATCGCGTGGTTTTCCATTTATTTTTTAATTTTGGAGCACCCCATTCCCTCCCCATCCAGCATCCAAAGGCAGGTGCTGTGCCTCCCTGCGTGGGAAGGTGTAACTCACCCACAGGGGAAGCCCTCGGGGTTTAACCCACCCACCGCCTCCTCACACCAGCCCAGAAAGTCAGAAAATTCCTTGTTTGCTTTTTTTCCTGTGGAAAAAAAAAAAAGAAGAGGACCACAAACACAGACTTCCCAGATTGCCAACAAACATCCAAAGAGACAAAGTGTTTTCGGTTGTAACCCAAATATTTTCCAGGAAATTGACCAAAATGGGTTTGGTCATGATCTAAATATTTTCTAGCAAACAAACCAAAGCATTTTTGGTTATAACCTAAATATTTTCTGGCAAATGAGCCCTTATCCTCTCACTTACAGCCTAAATATTTTCCAGAGCTCCTCCAGCCCTGCTTGCATCCCCAATCCAAGCAGCCTGGCTCTTCCCAGTGGGGAAATCACCCTCTCCATCCTCCAGCACCACTATTGCTGCTCATCCCATGTCAATGCTCCACACGGATTTCATTCCCTCAGGAGCACCAGGGAGTGTGAGTCCTTTGCTGGATGTTGAGACTATAATAAAGCAATTATCTTGTTTGCCAGCAGGATTGATAGAAAGATCAACTTATTAAAAATGGATAAAAAGCAAATTCTGGCTGGAAGCAAAGTGTGGTTATCAAAACATCAACGGAGCGACGGCTCCCGGCACGGCCCCCCCGGGGCTCGGCCCTGCCACGGGACACAGGAATAAGGTGCCCTCTGCAGCACCCACACATCCCACCTTTTGGCACTTCTTGACCCAAAGTTGGGCAGCCCTGAGGTGTTCAGTCTAAGGGGAATCACGGATTTGCAGTTTCTGACATCAGATCCAGTGTCCCCACGTGGAGCAGGACTCGGCCAACTCCTCATTCCCAGGCAGGACATCCCTCGGAGCAGGGCCTGGGCATTGCCCCTCTGCTTTCAGTTTCTCTTCTGTGTTGGTGCCACGGCCCAGCCCACACACCGACAGCTCCAGCCCAGGGAATCCCATCTCCCTTCCCATCCCACGGCCGACTCCCCCACCATCCATGTGGGATGTGAAGGGGCCTGCAAGGAAGCTGGGGAGGGACTCCTCATCAGGACTGTAGTGACAGGACGAGGGGGAATGGGTTCAAAATGAAAGAGAGTAGGGTTAGATCGGAGTTTTGGGAAGAAATTCCCCCCTGTGAGGGTGGGGAGGCCCTGGCACAGGGTACCCAGAGAAGCTGTGGCTGCCCCATCCCTGGAAGTGTCCAAGGCCAGGCTGGACGGGGCTTGGAGCAACCTGGGATTGGGGAAGGTGTCCCTGCCCATGGCAGAGGGTAGAATGGGATGAAAATTAAGGCCCCTTCCAGCCCAAACCATCCTGTGATTCCATGATTCCATGAAGAAAGCCGTGGGGGAAGCTTTGCCTGCGATGGCACGTGTCTCCCTGAAGCAGCTGTGTTTATGAACCTACACAAGCTCCTGGATCCTTTACCCACTGCTGCAGGAGCTGGTTTTGGTGCTTTATTTCCAAAACAGAGATTACAGTACACAGGTGAACAGCTTCCATCCACATTAAAATAAAGGTTTCTCTTTTCCTACACAGCCATGAGAACCTGAACTAAATGGTTGGGCTCTAGCTTGGACATTTGACATCCCAAACCAGGTGAGGATCAGCCACTTCATGATGATGAGAACCTAAAAGGGTCTCCAAGGGAGCTGGGAGAAGTTTGAGGTAACACTGAGGCATCTGGGCCTTTCAACTGGAAAATCACATTCACTTAGGAAGAAAAACAAATTAGATCCCTTCTTTACAATTAGCCTTTTCCACTCCCTGGCCTGTAATTGCCAACTTCAAAGCTCTCAGAATTCTCACTAATGAATTCACCTTCAGTAACAGGAACCTAAACCTGTTCTGCTGCCTGTGTGTGGAATTTCTAGACAAGCCAAGGTTGGGGGAAAGACAAACTTCCCAGAAAGACTGAGGGCAGCCCTCCCAGAGGCTGGATTTGGGCAATGGGCTCATTAACAACTTTTCATTAATGATTTTTCCACAGGCAAGACACCACCCAAGAGGGCTGAGCAGCATCACACGGAGGGGCAGTGGAAAGATTCCAGGAGAAAATGGCTGAGAGAGCAGGGAGCTGCAATACCACCCCTGGCTTGGTTTGTCTCCCAGTGAACAGCAGGGCTCAGCTAACAAAGCCACCAGTGCCTCAGAAATAACGAACACATTTGAGTCTCTTTGCAGAGATATCGATCCTTTAACCCTCACCACCAGCCCCTCCTTTGCCACCCTCTCCCTGTAAGGCAGGAACACTCACAGCTATTCCAACCTCCTTCCCTGGGGGAAAAGCAGGCACTTAAAATGGGTTAAAAGGAAAAACCAAACCCTCCCACGATGAGAAAACGGAGCACTGGGAGAAGCTCTATTCCTACAACAGGTTCTTGGGAAAGGGAAGGGGAAAAGAGCTATTTATGCATTCACCAGGGAAGGAATATCAGGGGAACAAATCTGATTGATTAACTCAAACTTCATCAAGAACCACTCAAAAAAGTTAGGGCAGCCAAATTCTCTCTGCACAGCCCCTGGCTGCTCACCAAGCCTTCCCTCAACTTCAGCCCCAGAGTGGAGGAAGGAGCCCCCGAAGGGGTGAGAGAACAGGGACTCGGGTTCCCCCCTCACCTTCTGTCCCAAACCTGGATTCTCCTCTGGAACCGTTTCCCCCGCGGCCACTAGAGGAAGCTGCGACACCGCGCCGGGAGAATCCCAAATGTGTCACCTGTCCTTCCCTGCACTTTCACACCACCTGGAAAACCGAATATGAAGAAGTTCTCAAAGAGTCCTGGCGACTTAATGCAGACACAGCTCTTGGGAAGTTTTCCAGAGAAGCAAAAACAGTGGGAGAATCGCTGGGACGTGAACACCCCGAAAGCCATAAATGCCAGCTGCTTTCCCGGCTGCCTGCACGACACTTCCATGGATTAAACGTGGAACAACCCACTGTGAACAATGAGCTGTGACTGGCTTTTCATTCCTAAAGCTTCCCGGGGAGCTTGGGATACCTCTGGAGCAGAGCCTGCTGAGCCAGCAGAGCCGAGCCCCAGCGGGGAGGGCAGGACACGAGGGGAGATGGAGCAGAGGATGCTCCACAGGGAAGCAGTGGGTGCAGCCAACATCAGCTCCATGCTTTCTCATCAAGGAAATTCTTCTCCCTTCCTCAAGAGGTGCAGCATCTCTGATGCAACTGGGATAAAGGACATGTCAGAGAACAGCCCTCACGTATTTCTGTGTGAGCAAATCCCCCATCACTGCTGCTTTCAGTGCCCTTTGGGAGCACTGGATTTGCCAACGAGGAGAGAGAGGCCCAAGTGGGACAACCTAGACCTGGAGGACACGAAAATCAGCAGTTCAAAGGATCCAAGCCAGATTTCCCCACACAAAGCTCACGGGGAACCACTGAAATGGGACTGCAGCTGGGAGCTCAATGTTTCTGAGGAACACCAGGGAGAATTCCCTGCTCCTGGGAGCTCACAGATGTACAGACCCTCACAGCAGCCTCATCCCAGCCTTGGGGACACGAGGCCAGGCTGGTGGCCACAGGCAGCACCCAAAATCAGCCCCAGCCCTCAGCTGCTGCCACCCAAGGCACAAACAGCCACCCACCGGCCCCTTCCCTGGAATCCAACCCACCTGCAAACCCCCCGTGGGGGTGGGAAAGGGCCCTCACCTCCTCCTCCATGGAAATCCTCGTTTCATTTCATCCTCACTTCCCTTTCTGGGGAAAAAGGGAATAAGTATTTTGCATTTCTCAGCTCAGGCAGTGGAAAGGCAGGTTCATACAGAGGCTCCAGGGGGAGTTGTTGGTGCTCTCTCAGAGGGTGACATTGACAGCTCAGAAACTCTTTATTTAAATACTTTATTTAAAGCTTAACGCAGTTAACTTTTATATATATATAGATATAAACAATTTCTTCTCTCACTTCCCTAAATGAAAGCTGGATTTAGGGGGATACATTACTTGGGGGGTTGTTTTTTCCTTCAAATAAAGTCATTTGTTATACATATAAAAATATATTACTTGGGTTTCCTTTCAGTTATAAGTGACACGAGGGCTGGGGTGGACAAAAGAATGGAAGACAAGCACAAGGACTTCCAAAAATAAAAACAAAACCAGTGAATTTAAGCATGTGGCACACTTGGAATTTATAGTGCAACAGCAAGCCAAGAACTCCACGTTCTGCGACACAAACATGGCATCACTCAGACTTGGATCACACGTCCTTGCTCCCAACAGGGTCACGGCTCAACAGGACATTACAGCACCAAAACCCAAAAAGGCTGAACTTCCAAAATCTGGAAATCAAGTTCCTGGCCCTCAGAAGCAGGTTGGAACTGGATGATCGGGGTCTCTCCTCTTTCACGGACGTCAACACCAGAAAACATCGAGGACAAGGGGAACACAAGGTTTGGCAACATCTCTGCAGGGAGAGGGACCCTCGCTGAGACTGGATCCAGCTCCCGAGCCAGGAGGAAGATGGATACAGACAGCAGGG